TGCTCCTCGGCGTGACAGCAAAACAGGAGCTGGTGGTTTGTGAGAGAAGCCGTCTCTGCACCGAAACCCGGCAGGGAGCTCCCGGTTGCTCTTTGGGCTGCAGATGTGGTAAGCGGCGGTGGATGGATGTGATGCTTTGGGCTGCCGGGGCTCCACGGGTTTGCTCCGGAGCTGTTGTCCAAGGAAGCCGAAGCACTGGGCGCTCGCACTTGTTTTTCTGCTGGTGGGAGGAAGGGAGGAGGAGCGGCGTTGCCTTTCAGCTGCACGCCCAGCTCCAGGCTTCCTCTCTGCAGGCCTCGTGTCTCCGGGGTCGTCTCCTCGGGGGGCAGTTCTTGCAGCTGTAGGGATGCCATCTGCATGGAGCTGTTGATTTCTGGATGTGTCAGAGCTGGGGGCAGAGCTGCTGTTGGCCGTGGCATAGCCTTGTCTGCAGGTCAGTGCCCAGGGGTGCTTCCAGCATCACTTTCAAACCCCTTCCCCTTTCTTCCTCCTCGTTGGAGGTCATGAAACCCAGGCAGCTGCGAGCAGGGGAAGAAGAAGTGAAGCTGCACCAGCGAGCGCACGCGTTCAAAACAGAAAGCGAGAGGCGGCATGGCCTGCACTTACAGTGTAGCGTGGGGGTTATCCCGGGGCTAGCACCGGAGGTTTTGCTGGAGATGTTATGGTAGGTAAGGCAGCAGGCTTGAAAGCTTTAAAAAAAAACCCAGAAAGCTGCTTTTTTTGTTTTGTTTTCCTCCTTCTGCAGGGCTGTCTCTGTTTTCGCGTTGCCAAGGGCTGTTCTGCAATATTGCATTCAGCCTGCTGGCTTTTGACAGTTTGATTAGCGTATCTAAATGAGCCTGATAGACTCAGGTTATTTAGGGTCAGACGATTTACCAGGAAGAGGAGGGAGACGGCGCTCTGGACGCTCACGGATCGAGGAAGAACACAAAAAGCCCTTGAGACGGGGAGTGCTTGCACCAGCCACCCCAGCAGGGGCAGCATGGACGTGTCCACCCTTCGTCCTGGCAGCCAAGGACGCTTTCGGCACCTCTGGCTGGGCCCAAGGTACCTCTTCAGTCTGCTGCATGAAGAAGTGTATTTTAATGAGGCCGCTTTTGGCTCTTTTAGCATTTTATTTATCTAAATGTTGGCCTTGTGCTGCATCTCGCTCCGCCAGGTGATTTATGGCACTGGAGCCGCTCGCGGTGTCTGGCCGTCTTTGGCAATGCTGCTGGTGCTGCAGGGCCAGGAGCTGCTCAGGAGGAGCTGCGGGAGCCAGCGCTCATCAGGGCAGGTTTCTGGCTGTATTGGGGCAGAAAGTGGCTGTGTTGGGGCAGAAAGTGGCCGCATTTCAGTCATTTTCCCCACAAGACCCTTCCCCAACCATCGCCGTGGTGGTCGTGAGCTCTGTGTTCAGCATCACTTGTGTCAGGCTTCAGCCAAAAGGGATGGGAGAAGGACTCGGACCCCTGTGTAGGGGCCATGGGATGCTGGAATCTGCCCCAGGCTCCCTGTGGCTCCAGCTGAGTTGCTGTGGACACCCAGAATCATCTGATTTTGGGAGGAGGGAGGAGCTGTGGTTCTGGTGATGGCACCAGTGGCTGTTTGTGCTCTCCATCGCAGCCCAAATCGCTGCCACGCGTCCCCTGGGCCATTTGGAGCTGGGGCGGTGCAGCCCCAGGAGCTTGCTCCCCAGTTTGGTTTAATTCAGGTGATGTGCTCTGGAGCTAGCGCCGGTGCATGGTTTGAAACTGAATAATGTAGGTTTTCCTGGTCATTTTTTCTTCCTCTCCTGGCTGGGTGACATTGAGGCACCCAAAGGGGTTTTGGCTGCGTTGGTTTTGCTTTGGAAGCATTTTCCCCCCTTCGCCTGAGTAAAGAAGCTTAATTTCTCTCAGAAGAGAGGTAGATAAAGGTGCTCACCTTCTCTTTGCATCTCTTCCTGCCCTCTGCAAACCTTTTTCCCCGCTCCTCCGAATTAGTTGATGTGCCAGAGCCCCTGAATACTCATGGACTTCCTGCTGCTTTAATTCCTATTTCATGGCATTTACTGAATTTTGGGAACTCTGCAGAACTTCCACAAAGTTACATCTGTGTTGGGAGCACCTGAAGTGCAAGGAATAGCAGGAAAGTCGGTGTCTAGGGAACGAGGTCTCAGCTGGAGGCGCTGGGGGAATTGAGGGCCCTGGAGAAGGTGCAGATTTGAGGGCGGGAGGAGGCTTTGCAGGGGGCAGGGAGAGGATGAGCGAAAAACAGAATTGGGCACAAAGCAGCAAAGCAATGGAGAGGAAAAGGAGCGATGTTTAACCTGGGGCTGTGGAGTCTTTTAGTTGTTTTATTCCAGGTGCCAGGGCTGTGCTGGACATTTTGGGTCAGGATGGGGACTGATTCCCATGGCACCCACCGGACGCCGCATCCCTCATCTCTCCCCATGTGTGGAAGGTGCAGCAGCACTGACAGCTCCCATCACACGGCTTCAAAACGCTGCTGATCGACACCGAAGCCTCTTCTGGAGGCAGCTCCTGAACCTTTCTGGCATTGCCTTTTGCAAAACACACTGCAATTCGCTGTAGTAACTCTGTGAGCAATTAAACCACCTACATCCTGCCAGGTCTCCCACGGCTCCTCTGACAGTTCAGCACAGGGCACTGAAATTCGTCAATTCGGATCCTCCTCGCTGATTTTTCGGTCATGTTTTCATCTGGTAAAACCCAACCCTGATGTGTGCGGAGCGGAGCGGCTCATGGAGCAAGGTGGGCGATATCTGGTGCTTCCCAGCCTTGCCCTTGGCAGGGAATTTGGGGATGCTCACCCCGAGCTAATAGCCCCGTGTAACGAGTTTCCCCCTGGCTTTTGGCCACGCCAGCGAGCTCTGAGCTCCACCAGCCACTTCTGGTGGGAGCTATGGAGGAAAAGGCAAAGCTCAGCCGAGTGTGGGCAGGGGGAAGAGGAAAACAGATGGTTCTCGGGACACGCTGGAGCCTTTTATTTTCTCAAGGGCACGGCCTTCGCGCCTCCCAGACGGGTAATTCTTGTTTGTGCGCCCACGGGAGGGGACGGTCCTGGTTGCGGGGTGTTGGTGTGCCTTGCAGATGTGGCGTGCTTGTTTCGTAGGTGGATGGCAGGAGCTGCGCCGTGCTTTTGTACCTCTTTTTTAACTTCTTTTTTTTCCCCAGTTTAAAACCAGGACGAGTGCGAACGCGGGGAGTTCGCTGCAGGCAGCGATTTTGCTGTGGCTGCGAGAGCTGAGAGGCTCCTTTGCTTTTGGACGTTGGGGTTTGTCCCATCTGTGGTTGCACCCGTAGCAAATCCTGTCCTGCGCCCCCAGGGCCTGCTCTGTGGATGGAGATAAAGCAGCATCGCAGGGTCGTGTCCTTAGCACCTGGATTTTGGGTAGAACATGGAGATGAGTGGATGCTGTCCTGGTAATGTCCTCCTTGTGTCACCAGGACCCATCTGAGGACACCGCTTGCCCCGGAGGCCCAGGGCCTTTCTGTTGCAGCTGCTGGGGATGCATCCACGTGGGGTTTTATTTATTGATTTGATTTGATTTTACTTTATTAGTCTCTGAACTTTGTTTTTAAGGGAGTTGGGAGCTTTCCTGTTCCAGCCAAGAGCTGGTCAATGCAGACTCCCAGGTGGGATCTCTTCATCCAGTGTAAACGTGTGCCAGGGTTAGCAGGGCTGTGCTGTGGCAGGGCTGTCTATGGCATTGCTGAAGGTCTTGGTTAATTAGATGATTAGTCTGCCGGTCAAGCATCTATCTGCAAATAAAAAATAGCAGTTGAGCGTAGCTGCTAAAACGCTGCTGCTGGAATCGGTCTGCGGCACAGAGGAGGGCTTCTTATTTAATTAAAATCGGGAACAGGCTGTCCTGTACTCTCCAAGGGTCAGGGAACAAAAGGGACAGACACATAATCAGCAGCAAACTGTCCTTTCCAGCCCCTTGAGCGCAGCCCAGGACAGCTGTGTTTAAAGGGATGCTCTCATTTGTCATTTCTTCCTTTATTTTGTTCTCTTCTTTTCCCTTTCTCCATGTGGATTATTGAAGCTGAAAGTATCCCGTGACTTTGAATTTCATTCCTCTTGGATTTGAAGCCGTCATTGGGGCTGCTTGGATGCCAAAAACCGCTGCGTGCGTGCTCAGCGGCTCAGGTCCCAGTGCTCCAGGAACTGGGGGTTACTGGGAACCCTTTTTGGTGGGGTGTGTAGGGGAAGCATAGGAGTACATAGGAGCGTCTCTGTGGTTTCTAATGAGCTCTCAGGGCTCAACTCTTGCTTGCGAGCTGCTGCCAGTCTAACGCACCGCTCTGTGTTCCTGCAGGACGTGGCGCTGTTGGAGTACCAGCACCATCCCAGGGATTTCGCCTCCCACCTCCCGCCGGGCTCCATCATGCAGCCGCAGCGCCGCAGGCCCTCCCTGCTCTCCGAGTTCCAGCCGGGCAACGAAAGGTACTGACTCCACGGGCAAAAATATTGGGAGACGTATAAGAGGGGAGGGTTCCTGTGGGCAGCGTTACGTTGTGTGTTGCTGCTCGGTCTCTGTTTCCAGCTGAGCTTCGCTGTGCTGATGCAAGTGGCGCCTTTGCCTTCTGGTTTCTTCCCGTGGGCTGTCGGGCGTTTTAAAGACGGCTTCAAAACACCAAACGACACAAAAACCTCCGCCCCCTCGCTTCTGCGAGCTGCACCTCGCTGTGACTGCTCGCACGGGCTTCCTTCAGCGTGGAAAATGAAGCAGCGTGGTGGGGTTTGGTCTGTGGCTGCCGAGGCAGCCGGGAGGAGTGAGAAGAGCTCATTTCCACCGTGCATCTCCGCTTCCTCCTCCGCTCTTTCACTTTCTGCGTCCCCACCGCTGCTTTCTCCGAGCTGCTTTTTTCCTGTTTGCCTCTCCCCAAGTTTCCCATTGCTTTCGTGGGGGGCTGGCAGGGTTTTTGGGTGCTGCTCAGTGTGGCTGGAACCGCTGTGAGTGCTGCAGCCGCTGGAGCTGATCCATCCTGAAGGCCTTCACTCACAGTCGCTGTCTGGTCACAAAACACTGCTCTCTCATAGTTTCTCTTCTGCATTTGATGCTTAGTGGTTTGGGGAGAAAAAAAAAACCAGCCTGGAAGTGAAATAAGAGGCTTGCTACAGGAAATTTATGCAAAGCATTTTAAAAAATAGACTTATTTATTATATAAAAGCAGTGCAGAGTCAGATGAATCTGTTTCTGTAGAATCATAATTAGCAGGGGAGAGGAGGAAGACCTTGGGGAGTTGACGTGCAGGGGCATTGATGCAGACAGGACCCTCTTTACCAGTGGGATGGGTTCAGTTTAATGCTCAGCAGGAACAAACCCATGAGCATTTGGAGGCAAAAAGCAGCCTTCAGAGTTGGTTTTGCATCTGCCCCCCCGAATGTGCTCTTCTGGGCTGTGCCTGTTGCATCCACACGTACAGAGGGTAACATCACTTCCAGTGAGGAATAATCTATTGCCACATGTTACATTGGCTTGGCTTTGGTTTCTCAGTGCAGAGTAGCACGGTTGAGCTGGAGCTGGGTCAGGTTCAGCTGAATTTGGGGGAGCTGGGCAAAGGGGGCCTAGCAATGTAACACGCTCCTGCCAGTTTGTGTTTGCAAAACGGAGAACCAGGAAAACAAAGCTTTCAAGGTGTGAATGTGCTGTTTTAAGAAAATTGTATCTCGGTTCTTCCATATAACCAAGAAAACCCCAACGTGGTGTCTACTCTATCCCTGCCTAAGCTGCTGTGGTCGTCCAAGCATCTCGCTTCGGTTTACAGATGTCTCAGACGCTCCAGGTTTATTCGTGTGTTGACAATCAATGTAGATCCAGGTAAATGTTGGTCCAGGTTGTCAGGTTTAGACCCACATCTGAACGCTTACCACGGTTACTTCACTTTCAGCCCCAATGGTGGAGTTTTGGCATGCTGGAAAAAGAAACTCCTTTGTATCAGGCCCGAATTACTTTTCATCCCTTTTCCCTCTCATATCCAGAAACCTGAACTTTTGCAAAATTTATATGGGGTAATAAAGCTAAAAATACCACTTAATTTCAGCTCAGTTGGAATCTTGTGCCAGAATGCTGGGGTATAGGCTCATTAAAAATCCATTTTGGGGCATCTGGGGATGCAGGATGGGGGGTCTGCAGAAATATTTAATTCAGCGTAATTAATGATTGAAGTCATTCAAACTGGGTGGCACTGGGGTTGGGGAGGTGTTAGTCTGTTCTGCAAAGCCAACTCCTGTTTCTTTGCATCTTTACACCTAAAAATCCATCCTACGGGGCCTTTGCTCAACTCTGTGGTGTGAGAATCCGCTCGAAAGCAGCGCCTGGTGTAAACAGAGCCCTTTGGGTGCTTGGGTGCTCAGGTGCTCAAGAGCCTGGAGCCGCTGGAGCGGGTAGGGCTGGTCCTTGGTGTCAGCCCCAAAAACCAGCCCTGGCTCTGCCTGGTACGGAGCAGGAAGCCTGGAGCAGGGGGCAGCAGCCCCCTCTGCAGCTGGGTCCCCTTGGCAGGTTCACGCCGGGCGCATCTGCGAGCGCTTGGCGCAGTTCCTGTGCTGGGAGCGATGCTGGGAGCAGAGGCAGCTGGGGCTCAGCAGAGGGAGCGACCCGAGGCACATAAATAACATCCATGATGGGGAGTCCTGTCTCTGAAAGGAAAACCCTCACCCTGGATCCCTCCCCGTGCAGCACTGGTGGCCATGAGGCGATGCTCACATCTGGCCCTGTTCCTGCCTGGTCCGTGACTGCTGCTCGCCCTCCTCTCCTGGAAACCACAGGGATTCACAGAATAGGAGGAGTTGGCAGGGACCTGGAAAGCTCCCCCAGTGCAACCCCTGCCACAGCAGGATCACCAGAGCAGTCACACAGGAACACGGCCAGGGCTTTGGGTGTCTGCAGACAAGGAGACTCCACAACCTCTCTGGGCAGCCTGGGCCATGCTCCATAACCCTCACACTGACAAAGTTTGGCCTCATCTTCAGCTTGAACCTCCTGTGCTCCAGCTTGGGACCATTGCCCCTTGTCCTGGCATTGGCCATCCCAGAGCAGAGCCTGGCTCCTTCCTCCTGACACTGCCCTTTCCCAATGGATCCCCAGGAATGAGGGCACCCCTCAGTCTCCTCTGCTCCAAGCTCCAGAGCCCCAGCTCCCTCAGCCGCTCCTCAGCAGGAGATGCTCCACTCCCTCCAGCATCTTTGTGGCCCTGCTGGACTCTTTCAAGCAGTTCCTGTCCTTCTTGAACTGAGGGCCCAGCACTGGACACAAGATTGCAGCTGTGGTCTGACCAGTGCAGAGATTCACTTTACTCTGTGCTGGTTTTGGGGTTGTCCCCCAGTTTGGCTTTGCCTTCCCCTTGGGCAGATCTCAAAGCAAGGCTGTCTATGCGTGTGGTATTTGAGGCTTGACCCCATGGATGCTTTCAGTGCTGCAGAAACCATTTGGGCTCTCAGCCCAGTTCAGCAAAAAAGGGAGCTGCAGACTGCCCTGGTCCAGCTCCCATCACCACCCCTTGTTGGAGGGGTGGGCAGTTGAATTTCCTGTGCCACAACCCTGCCTTGGAAGGAGGAAGGAAAACCTGAACCTAAATGTGTCGCTGTAGGGGAAGTTGGCTCGGTCTTTGCAGGGATGCGCTGCTCTCCTCGATGGTTTTTTTGGGAGCAGGTTTTCTCTTGGAAGGGCCCGCAGTCTTCCCCGGAGCGTGTTCGCTTGGCTGTGCCAACTGGACTGCAGGAGCGAGGAGAAGTATTTCAGGATCTGCTGTTGGTACAAGTCGTCCCATGAATGCTTGCAGAGGAATGTCCTGGCAAGGCGACAAGGACTAGGGGTTGGTTTTTTTTTTTTGACTCTTCTCTCTATATTTTGGTCCACAAAAGAAGTGAGAAAACCTGGGTCGAGTGTTTAAATAACAGGTGCCAGTGGGGCGAGGGGGCTGAAAAATCCAGGAACTGGCTTTTCCTGACTTTCCATATGCGTTAGGATTTTAGAGTAAGATTTTGTACTATCGCTGGGGAGGGCTTCTTGGGCAGAAAACGTGTCTGTAAGTAAGAGACATGCATGTTAACGCGGTATATCCCACCTTTCCCCAGGATAAGACGAGTTCCTATTTTCATAGGAGATTATTTTTCCAGTTCACGAGCCCGTGCTCCTTTTTGGGAGCCGTTCTGCTTGGCAGTCGCGAGGAGCCTGCGGGATTTGCCCGGTGCTGATCCGAGGTATGACATTTAGGGTATGGTAAGCAGCTGCTGCGTTTCTGCAGCCATCCGAAATAGCCGTGTGCAATCCAGCATGAGAGCAGGCCTAATTACTGTGCTTATGGGATGTGATTAATCCCGCCGGCAGAGGAGCCCGGTGGGAAGCCGGGGCGGTGTTTGCGACCGCTGGAGATCACGTGCAGCGCTCGGTCTTCATCTGCTCTGGGCCCAACGGCGCGACCGGTACCGCTTTCTTTACGGGCTTTAATTAAGTTTCCATTTTTAAAGGTGACCCCTTTGTCACGGCGCGGCTGAAATCCCTGCAGCCGTACGTCTCGGTGTCTTCTCACACTCGATGTTCTGGGAGCTGCGTTTGCTTTCCTCCCCATAGATGAACGTGGGAGCATCGCGGCTGGGAAGGGCAGATGCTGGTGCTGGTGTCACGCCTGGTCTCACAAATACCCTCTGCTACCGTGGGCACAGCTTATTGAGGCCCCACAGAGAAGTGGGGGCGCTGGGATTCATGGCATTGGACCAGTGTGAGGGGAATCCTGGCTTTTGCCACGGCTGGAAGGGGAAAAGCTCATGAAGCAACCTCCCTGCATAATCTTGAACCAGATTTATTTGTGGGAGGAAGGTGATGTTGCAACGCGTGCATCCCACCAGGTGAACCACTGGTTTGTGGCAGTGTTAAAGCATCTGGTCCTGCCCGTGAATAATTCAGGCTCTGTGTATGGGGCTGTTCAGTATGCGGGGTTTAAATACGGCATGTGCTCTCTTCTACGTTGAGGTTGGCTTGGAAGGAGCTGGCTGGGGGGGTTGTGTGGGGCAGCTCAGGGCCTGGTGTGGGGATGGAGCATCCCAAGGAGCATCCCGGCCTCTGGGTATCATTGGCCAAAGGGGTTGCTTAAAACTCTGACAAACCTAAGCATTGGCTATAAATAATTCACTTCAGCACTAGTGGGTTTTGGTATTACTCGCTCTCAGGAGCATTTTAGTGTCATTTGTAGGTGTGGGGGCTGGAGACATGTTATAAAAACTGATTTTGGAGACAATTTCCTACCAAAGCAGCTCAGCCAGAGGAAGTAAACGGCTGCACCAAGGCTACGTTTCCCTTGGGTCTGGTTCCAGGAGATGGCAGAGCCAGGTTTCCAGCCTAGTTATGGTGTTTGGCTCCGTGATGTAGGGAACAACATCTGTGGATGGGAGCAGAATTTAACATGTGCCTTTGCTGGGAAGTTGGTGGGAGCTGGGTCAGATTTACTGCTGTTGTTTTGAAACACATCTGTGTGGAGTCACTGTGCTGGGTTTCTGGGCATTGCAGCGTCCTGATGCAGGAACAAAGCAGCAGAAGACGTTTTCCCAGGTCCCAGTGACCCACACGTACTGGATCCAGTCACAGGTGCCCTGCACTTGCTGTAGGATCAGTTGTAGCTGCTCACACCTTACTCATCCCCTGTGTGAGTCTGGAGTTGAACCCTGGGAATGAGTAACGTGGCTCTGCTTGGGTGCCATTAGTTGGTCAGATGAGTGATAACCCATGGGTCTCATCTTGGACTTGGATCTGCAACGTGGGAATCTCTGGAATAAGCTACCCAGGTGGGAAATATTTGGAGAACGCAGCAAAGCCCCAAGCTCGATGCAATGGGAGGGCTTTTTGGGCAGGGTTATTTCAATGCTGTCAGGAGCATCACCGCTGTATAAAGCTCTGTTGTGCAGAGCTCAGCGCAGGTGTGGGGTGGAAGGTGCAAAGGCTTTGAGCATTTGTAGCTGCGGGTTGTGTTGGGCTGAGCAATCTCGGCAGCGGCTGCAAATTCCAGTGGATAAACTTCATAGCAGCCCCGATGGACGTGGAAGTGGAAATAAAATAGCACCCTGTGACACTGCAGCTGCTTTCCCCGGCCCGGCCCCTGCCTTGCTCTCAGTAACTGCCTTTGTAGAGCTGAGTGCTTGTCTTATCTCAAAAATACATGGTTTTTTTCAGGGCATAGCAGTTGTGCTGGGTTCCTGACAGCTGCAGAGGTCTCAGAGCTGTCCTGTGTCTTTTAGCGGCTTCTTGGTAATACGGCCTGAAAAAAAAACATAGGGAAGAAGTGAAAATAAATACATCTGCCTTTTAATTGCCTGGGTACAGCAGAGCCTTGGGTGTTGGAATATTTTCACACCTGCCCAGCTCAACAGTTGGTTATTGAGCCCAAAATGTCAGCGTGCGGCTGCGGGCGGGCAGGGCTGGAGATGGGAGCAGCAAAGGCAGTGCCAAGGCCTCCTCACTAGACCATACCTGTTTTGGTGGGGAGGAGGAAGAGGATGAGCCAGATCCTGTCCCCGTGTGTCACCGAATCCCAGCATGTCAGGAGTTGGA